TTTTCCCTCCTTTCTTTGATCTCCTGCAGGCATTGAGATGACTGCTTTGATTCTGACGGTAGGTGTTCCGCTAGAAAGTGCTTTTAGTATAACTCCAAATAAGCAATACAAATTTAGAAGGAAAAGTTCACAGGAGAAAGTCTACTTTTCTAGACTAAGATGCCTTCCTCTCAGATCCTGTAACTTCAATATTCTTCTCTGACCTAGGACATTTTGAATGATACAGGCCATAAATGTTGCTGATGCCACGGCACTCCTTCAACCTTGCCAATTCCTTTTTGGAAGGACCTTCAACATTTCTTCCGTGTCTTTACAACTCTGCTGTAATACCTGACTGGAATCCCAGAGGATCCGATGAGATAAACATCAAACAAATACACGGTCCCTGCCTTGAGCCCCCTGATGGTTTCCGTGGTTACTGCTCGCCGCAGATTGAGATCATGGAAGTATTTGCACAAGACTTTGTGGCTTTTGTGCCTGGATTCTGGTCCCAAACACCTGTCTGCATTCCTTGTTTCCATCCAGACTTGGTCCTCCTCGATCTGCTTCTTGTAGACACAATATTTGCTCATTTGCTGTGTTCCAAGCCAGGCGATAGTGACCGAGTCACAGGTCCGCAGTTTGCTGAAAGACTTGATTTTTAAGCTTTCCGGGAGAACCGGGAAGAAAGGCTTGTGGAAGAGAGAAGAAACCTGAACTTTCACAGATGCATTTGAAGGTTCAGTGGACCCCAGGTTCATTGAGTATATATCTCCCACTCGTCCTTTCAGCGTGAAATGCCTCAGTCCGGCAAAGCTCTCTGACATCAACACTTTCTCATCCCTGGATATTTCAACTTCAATTTGGCCGCTGCAAGACTGAAAGGCAAACTGGACTTTCTTGTGCCTAGCCCGGTACTGCAAGCTATAGAGTCTTTGTTTCCTGCCATCCAGGACGAGATGCATCACCTTCCCATCTTTCAGCTCAGTGATTTTGGGGTCAGGTTCTTCCAGAGTCCTGGCAAAGGTTCCGGTATAGGCGGCGCTGGCATTGGTGAGGAAGTTGACCACGAAAACATCGAAATAATACTGGGTGCTGGGAGTCAGGTTGGGCACCGAGTAGGTGTTCTTGGTGCCCACACATACCTGCCGCACCTCCCCACTGCTAGCTTTGCTGATTATGCTTAATTCACCATCGGACAATATCATCACTTGTTGAGGGTTTGGGGAATATGGAGACAGAGACAGGGCTAACGCTGGTGGCGATTTCATACCAGATGATCTTATTGCTGTCTCCGCTGCGCATAAACTCTTGTAGTTGTGTTTTTCATTCATTAGGAGACAGTACTGGACATTTTCTTGGAACCGCAGCATGGTGGGACTGTGTTTCCAAGCTAGAGTGACGGTGGTGTGGTCGACACCAAGGACATCTATGCGTGGATCTGATGGGAGCTCTGGATATAGGTGGTCAGAAGTTGTGTCTGTCGTTAGGTACACTGTAATATGGGTGTCTCTTTCAGTGGATAAGAATTCAAGCATATAGACTGTGGAATAGTAAGACATCCCCATGTAGGTCTCCACAGAATTGCCTTTGTAGCTAAAAAGAGTAGATTCCACTTTTGTGGTCTTCTGAAACTTCAGGGCATCTTGGCTGTCATAACCACCTGTTAGTGAAGCAGAAACATGTAAAAATCTTAAAGGCATC